GTCGCATCCGCTTTCTCCGGGGGGTTTCCTCGCCAGGTCCGTGCCTCTTGTCATCGCATCCTACTGCCAGAGCGTGTTCTTTCCTCTTCCTCCTTGTTTGCCTACTCAGGTTCGTCCATGCATTTCCTATGCAGATGGTTTTTCGTAGGGATGCTCGTGTCCCCACGCTCTCCTGTGTGGCTCCGGGGTCCCGCGTGGGAAGGCCACAGCAGCTGCCACGGGCCCAGGGATGTGAGTGTGTGGGCACAGGGGGCAGGGAAGGAGCGTGGGGGTAGGAGGGTCGGGGTGCCGTGGGGCAGCCCTGCTCCTCGCCCCAGAGCCGTGTGCTGCGGGTGGGCTCAGTCACAACTGAGCCATCGATTCTCTGCAGCCCATCTGAGCTCTCCCGGTCCGGGGCAGCCTGGGGAGCGGCGTGCCGAGGGCTGAGCACTGGCCGGACACTGCCCTCACCTCCTCTCTGTGCCGGCAGCGACCGGTGCTGCCTGGCCTACCTGTCGGCACAGCCGGGAAAAAATCACCCCCACCAGAGATGCTGCGCCACCACGACGCAGCAAGGTGCCCCCGTGCACACTCCCATGCCCCGAAAGCTCTCCGTGAGCACACAAGTGACTGTTTCCTATAGGGGTGTGTATGTGCGTGTGTGTGCGTGTGCTGGTGCAGACGTGCGGGTTTGTGCCTTGCTTATATTTAGCAGCTGCAAGGAAACAGGACTGGGCAGCTCTGGTTCAGACCGTGGGTCTGTCTGCCCGATGTCCTGCCTCCAGCACGTAGCAGAGCCCCCGGCTTTGGCTCCAGCCGGCTCCGAGCTTTCCTTCCCCATGTGAAGGCAGGGTTGGCTTTGTGACATGCATCAATTTTCATTTATTTACGCTGAATTTCATCTGTAGTTTTGTGCATCCAGAGTGTCTTCCAGAAAGTTAGCTTAGGTCTGAAGGTCTGTCTCTGCCACCTTGCCATTCATTGCTGATTGCTGCAGGTAATTGGTCTGCCTGTTAGAAAGCGGGATATCTGTCTAATTTGGTTGTTATCGGTCGCTTCCTGATCTGACAAAGATTGATTTTACATTTTCCTTTTTCCTTTTAAAAAGATGATGTGAATGGGCTGTAAGAACCAGAGGAGATGGACGAAGAGCTGCCCTGCGCTGAGGTGGATGGAGAAGTGTCCTCTGCCACCGAGGATCTGGGAGGAGAGATGGCCTGTGCGGAGAGCGATACTGAAGGAGACATGCCCTGTACCGAGAGCGATGCAGAAGGAGAGGTGCCCTGTGCTGAGACCCACGCAAAAGAAGCAGCACTTTGTGCTGAGAGCAGTGTGGAAGGAGAGATGCCCGGCACTGACAGCGATGGGGAAGGGGAAATGCCCTGTGCTGAGAGTGATGCAAAAGGAGAGGCGTCATGCTATGACAGTGATGGGGAAGAAGTACCGGATACTGAAATCCCTGCTGCTTCAAAGAAAATGTCTTCTATTTCTTCTCCTTTGCGGGCAATCATTCGCCTGCGACGACAATACCGGGTGCAAAAGAAAAGCCGTCTGCATTTAGAGATTCCTCGAGAAAGGTCTTCAGAGCTTGTCCATACGAGGCTGCTTCAAAGGCAGCTTTCCCTGAACCGAACTAGCCTGTATGGCCCTTCCATGTCCTTCTTTAATCAGACCAGCTCTGAAACTTCCCAGTACTTCACCTTTGACACGTCTGTGGAGCAGCATGCGATGAAAAAATGCAGGCGGAAAAAGAATCGAAGGAAATCTAGGATAGTCCTGTATCCAGATAAAACAAAACGATACCTTCCAACAGAGGAGAAGAGCAAGGCAAAACGCTGCCTCCTCTTGCTCATTGCCATTATCTTCTTCCAGATTCTCAATGCAATAGAGAACCTGGATGATAACCTCCAAAAATATGACCTAGATGGTTTAGAGAAAACAATGCACCGGGAAGTATTTGGGCAGAAGGTTGCTGTGGAAAGTATTATGGAATTACTGAAGGACTATCTGGCTACCCACATACACAACAAGCCTCTTGTAATCTCTTTAAATGGCCCAACAGGAGTTGGGAAGAGTCATGTTGGCTGGTTGCTGGCCAAACATTTTCGTTCGGTCATGGACAATGACTTTGTGCTTCAGTACTTTGTTATGCATCACTGCCCCAGCGGGGCGGCTCCTCTTACTTGTGAAATAGATTTGTCTAAGAAGATTTCTGACATGGTTACAAGAGCCGAAGTAGAGGAGAAGATACCATTGTTTATTCTGGATGAGGTTGAACTCATGTCTCCAGTCTTGCTGGATACTCTCAGCCGATTCTTTGAACCCAATCAAACTAACGAGTTCCTCAATGCCATCTACATTTTAATAAGCAACATAGGAGGCGCTGAAATAACAAAGTTTGTTATCCAGAATGCATCTGCTGAGCTTCTGCATCAGCAAAGGGGAGTTGAAGAACTGCTGAGCATCGTCCAGCCTGTACTGATTGATGTCCACCCTCTCTGGAAATCTGCAGACATCATCCCATTTGTTCTTCTGGAGAAGACCCACGTCATAAACTGCTTCCTAGAGGAGATGAGGAGGGAAGGGCTGTATCCTGACCAGAAGCATATTGAAAATTTAGCGAGTCAGCTGAGTTACTACACTACAGGGGACAAGCAGTACTCCAGGATGGGCTGCAAGCAGGTTGTGGCCAAAGTCAACCTGCTGTAGTGATTTACTGCAGAGACCGAGTACTAGTCTCAGGATTTGCAAAATTCTGGGCTTATGGAGGAGTACGTTACAGCAGGCTGTGGCCAAGGTGTCCTTTCCCAGCCCTGCACTGACTCTGTCCTGGTTGAGGTAGAGGGACGGCAGCCCGGGCTCCTCTGCAACGTGGTCTCTGTTCTCCTCCAGATGCTTCACTTGTTCCTAATGTTCTGTGAATAAGGCACAGGCAACAAAGCCCGAGCAACCTCCCATTAATTGTGAGCTGCTTTGTTCCTCATGCTCTCATTTGGGATACTTGTCATTAAGGAGTTGTGAGATGAGAACAGAGGCTGTGGGATGTAAATAGGAGGAGGAAATAATAACCGGGTTACTGTCCCTGCGGTACACGTAGCCGTGTATCACTCCTTCTCCAGGCTCACCGTCTTCAGCTCATCGCTTCTCTTGCTCCTGGCTGGTGGTGTGCAGAGCAGAGGCAGTGCTGGATGCCTGGGAGAACTGAGAGAAGTTGTTGCTCCTCTTCCCCCAAATGCGTGGGCAGTCAGAACTCTGCTTTCTCCAGCTCCTACGTGACCGTGTGCTCCAGAGACTGCTTTTTGGACCCGTTCCTGAGCTGTTGCTCCTCTGAGCTCATACCTGAGCTCACCTTTGGCACCTCCAGTGAGATTTCTGCCCTGCAAGTTTGTTTGGACTCGTCTTGAAGACTGCCCGGCTGTGCCAGTCGGTGCAGAAATAACCACCGCATTGTTTCAGGTCTGGTGGTGGCAACTAGTCCTGAGAGCTCTTCTGCTTTTTGTTTCTGGGTGCACTTCACCATGCTCATTATCTAGAAATCCCGAAATAGCCACTGACATATATTAAGCAACACACACTGGAAAAGGCAGTTTGGGCTGTCTGGGCCAAGAGCAGTAGGAATCCTGGGCTTGTCCCAGTCCTCTGAGGCCAAGAAGAGGTTCTTTTCCATTGAGCTGCCTGGAAGCTCCTCAGTCCTTGTTTTGAGCATGCAAAGTGAGCAGGTATTTATGACATTGCTTTTTCAGGTTTTGGGCCTAAATCCCCTTTTACAATTTGCTGTGAATTATCATATATGCAATCCTGTGGATCTTTGCACTGGGTGTTTGATTTGCCTCTGTCTAATTGTTGGTCTCCAAAGACTTCCGTCACAAACTCCTGCTTCCAGAGCTATTGTCAGGAATAAATCCAAACTGTCCTGAATAAAATCATTAAAAGTACTTTTCCTTTATCTGACTGAAATGGGGTTTTCTTCCCAAATTTCTGTTCTTGACCAATGGAGCTGCACTGCCATACCTGTGCGTCCCAGTGACTTGGATTGGGAGCAAGGGCTTCGCCGACCCCCTCGATGCAATGTGTGTGCAGCTCCTCGGGGTACACTCATGGGAGGCCAAATCCAGAACGCACACAGTGCAGCAGTGCCCAAAGCTCTGTGCCACACGGCTCCTCCGTCCCCCAGAGCTGCACAGCAGGGACTAGGCTGGAGACTGGGGAAGTGTGTCCTTGGCTGAGATGATGCTGGGCTGGAAAGCCTGTCCGCGGTTTCTCCTCTTGAAATTATCCAGTGGAGGAGCCTTCTTCTCCTGTAGAGCAGCCCGTGAGAGCAGCTGGGCAGAGGAGGAAGGGCTGCTTGCATGGATTAGAGGAAGGGCTCTGAATGAAGCTAAGCCACCTTCTAGATGCAAGTGTCCACGAAAAGCAACATGTGAGCTGGTTTCCATAGCTTAGTGAGATTTTACTGCCAGAAGAGTTAATATATTTTTATCCTGGGTAAGAAACAGAAACAACTCAGGGACCAGGATTCCCCTCCTCTTCCAGCTGGGAGACGAACAGAGGTTATTTCTGGTTTCTTCTACCAAGGTCTCTCATTTGTGGGAGAGGAGCTCAAAGCCCAAGTGTGTGACCGGAGAGGTAAGCATCACCCACATTGCCTGGGCTTGGGACCTGAAAATGCCATCAGTGTCTATAGTGCTGGGCTGCAGGGGTGCTGCTGAAGCAGGCACCCATGGGTGATGGATTGTGGATGGCTTTTGTCATGGCATCGGGACAGGCAGCAGCACCACCGACGGCAGTGCTGCCTTCACAAGGGAGGATTTCGGGCTTCCAAGGGCTGTGCGAGGGGCTGTAGGTACTGTGGGGATGCCTGAGTTGTTCTGGTGGGAATTTAGTCTTGGTTTTGGGTATCTACACTTGCAGTCCACCCATGGGGGTTCAGTCCTGCTGGAGGCCCGTGGGTGCGTCTGCACCAACCATCACCCCATGCAAGAGAGGAGGGTGACTTCCAGTGGAGCTGAGCATCTGCGGAGCTTCTTTTGATGCATCTAAGGTTCACCTGCTCCAAACCACCGTTCCCAACCCTGCCCCAAGCAAGCTGCCTGAGTTTTGCCGAGGCACTAGCCCATGCCTTCGTATCCCACACAAGCTGCATGCGGGGTGGTTCTGGGCTCACCCTGAGCAGCTCAGCACTCTAAAGCTCAGTAGAAAATGGTTCCTTATGCCTCTCACTCTCTCTTGCCTGCCCTTCCATCTCACCCCACTTCTGCACATCAGCTCTGTCCCAAAGCAAAGCTGTCCTGACTATTTTGCAAAAGGCGTGGGGTGTGCAGGCACCCTGTGCACCTGCCATGAGGTCTTTGCCTCCCACAAAGCTCCTCTTTCTGCTGCATGAAGAACACCTCATCCCTTGGTCAGTGCTGGAAAGGACAATCTGGGCAGTGCTACATGCATGCTAGCCCTTCCCACGCTCCCAGCTGACAAGGCAGCTTGTATCTCTGGAGGTCTTCATCAGAAAGCACAGGAACCTCCAGGCCATGGAGAAGACTTTCCTGCCAGAAGATAAGGATGTCTGGCCAGGTTGTCTCCAGTCCTAACTTGCCCCAGGAGTGGGATCCCAGCTCAAATGGTTCTCCAGATTGTCCCCAACTCCAGCCTGCCCCAGAATCCCAGCTCAGACATCTATCCATGCTGTCCCCAGTGCCCAAGCTGCCCTGAGATCCTCTGCAAAGTCACCGTCCCTGCCAGGTGCTTTCAAGGCAGAGGAGCTGGCACATGGGCGATCCACAGCGTTGAGCACCAGGAGACCAACGGCTCCATGCTGTGTGCAAAGCTGGTCTAAGGGAAAAGAACAGCTAAGGAGACTTAAATCTTACAGTCTCCTATCATGGCTGTGCCAGGATCGCTGAGGTTCTCTCAGCACAGGAGCACTCTCATGCTGCCTCAGAGCCAGAAGAACCTCTCTGAGGAGTTGCTCATCACTGTACCTGCTCCCACACATGCCTGGCCAAGCCCATACTGTGGCACTCATGCTGAAGGGCCAGGGTGATGACCTGCTCCTCCTGCAGCACATCCAAGGCTGGAATTTGGGGACCAAAGCACAAAGAGCACAGTGGCTTGTCCTTGGTCCTGCTCTGTGTCTTGGAGGCTCGGACGTTCCTGGCATGGGACCCAAGGCTCTTCTGGAGAGCTTTTATTCAATGGGTATGGCTGAGATGCCAGGTGCGTGGTAACGTGCTTTCACCGTAGACTTCATCCTCCTTAGCCTGATGTGGATTTCTTTACCCAATTGCCTTTTCCAGGGAAAACGCCGGTTGAGCTGGAGGGATGGGATTGAAGCTGAAGGAAGGAGACCCCCCCCGCCCGGGCTGGGGCTGGTCCTGCTCTTCCCCTGCACCACCGAGCTGTGAATCGAAGGGCTGGTAGACAGCCTGGACTCCTTGACTTTGAAAGCATCCCACATGCCTCCCCCACGCTGTTGGCTCCCTTCGCCTGGTGAAGGGCTTGTTTTCTTCCAGTAGCGCTGAGCCATGGGTGTCACAGGATGCCAGGATGGCTGGTCCCATGGGTCCAAGCCACTGGCATGGGTCACCCTCCTGTTGCCACCTCCTGCTTCCTAATGCACCATGCACTCAGGAATACCCAACGGAGTAAGGCAACTGCAGAAGGTACTGTGTTTGGTTGTCCATAGCCTCACCCATCCATAAGGGATCCCCTCAGCCCTTCTTCACTCTTAATAGCTTCTTTGTAATCAAAAGAACTAGAAATATGACTTTGTAGGAGATATTGCTAGGGATAAAAAGAATTGCTGTGGCTGCATGTCTGTCCTGTGCCTCCATCCAGCTCCTCTGGGTCCCCCAGGTGAAGGGGGACTGCCTGAAGTGTGGGAGCTGTCACACATATCTGCTATCAAGGTGGCTGTAGGTGGCACCGGGAAGGCTTCCTTGGTCAGCCAGAGCTCTTCCTAAGTCAGGCACACCTTTCTGTCATGCTTGGAGCATGATTTATGGAGAGCAGCTCCCGGCCAGCTGGGGGCATGGCACTGCACTTGGCCTCAAGCAAAGCGCGGCTGGTGCGGCAATTAAGCAGCAATGGGATAACCATTTCCTGTCACAGGCTGGCGGGGGCTCGTGGGGAGACCGGCAGGGACCCTGCACCCCGCAACTGCGTCCCGAAGCCAGAGTGGTGTTTGGGTCAAATTCTGGTTTTGCACTTACCCTGGGGAAGTGCAGAGCGATCCCAAATAGGCGTAGTGAGGGTGTGGGAACAGCTGCTGCTACTGCCCGCGAGAGCACGGCAATGACAAAGGAGGGTGGTGGTAAATACGAAATAATGCGTCTTGCGCAGGATGGAAAGTGCGACCACATTGGCCTGGTCTGTGCTGAAGGCTTTCCCGGGGCTGGGCTCAGGTCAGAGCACCTCATGGGCAGGAGCTGCATTCCCATCACATGCGACACTGTCAAGCCTTGACAGAGCAGCTGTGCCACCTCCAGGAGCACCTCCCAATACAGAAGACGCACCAATTAGTGCCAGCTCTGAAGGCACTAATTAGTCTTCTGCATATCAGCCTCACCTGACAGCTCCCCACACCTGGGAGCCTTCCCTGCATGGGAAGAATTTTCTAAGCATGCTCAGGAACCCTATTTAAGCTCAGCTGGAGGCATCAGTTTTGGAGCTTAGTTTGGTTTTATCTGTGTCTGGCTGTGAGCTCTGCTGATCCA